TCATCTCAGTATTTAGCAAATTGATCGTAGCCGTTCGTAGTCGAACCCATCCCTATAAGAAATCTAAGGAATCTAAGAAACTCACGTATGATATTGATGATGACATGGTAAAATTCTTAATTCTTCACCAGATTCAAAATCTCCCAAACAAATTGGACAAGTTAATTGTTCTTCTGTAACTTTATTAGAAATAGGAGAGGGAAATACAGGAACAGAATTTTCGGGTGTTGATTGATTATTATCTGAATTTGAAACATTTTTAGGAGTTTGATTATCATTCTTTAAGGATTCATCTCCTTCGACTTCAGATAGTTGAGGGGCTCCATCCTTTTGATTAGTTTCTTGTGATAATTCTTTTAATGGTATATCATTCTTGTCATCATCAGTTTGCATTTCTTTCGATCCTATATCTTTAATATCTTTACCACTTTCCAAATCTTTATTGACATCAGAATTATTTCTTAGGGAGAATAAATAAACTGGAAAACTTTCTAATACAGCTTTAGCTATACCAACATGTTTTTGACCTTGACCAGAATCATTATTAGAAATAATTCCAGAATCTTGTTGAGAACGAACTCTATTTATAACAACGTTTGTGATAACTACTAAAAAGAACAAGCCTAATACGACACCAGAAATCGTATATAATACAACCATTGCAGTTTGATAAGGCTGAGCTGAATTATCACTGGTACTAGCGTTGCTATTATCACTGACAGTGCTACCCTTATTACTGTAAGGACCACCATAACCATCATAATGCGTACCATTTCTACCGCCTCTGATAATTACCATAGGTGGTTGATCTAGTTCCTGTATTGAACTCGAGAGTGCACTATAACATTTTGTGAATTTTTCACTGAATACAGGAATCTTAATATCTGTTAAAGATGATGGATATTTACAAATATCACTATCATTATATAAAACTATAGCAGAGGATCCGTTTCCTTGAGCAGTTATCATGTCATTTGATGTAGTATTACTGTTACAATTTATATACGCAACCCATTGTTCCGTTGTATTATACAATTCACCAGGCCAAAAAACTATTGGTCCCTAAAAACACAAGACGACGGTTAAATGTTTCAAATTCAGATAATAATCAATCAACACCCGACAATTCTGTTCCTGTATTTCCCTCTCC